TCGGCAGCACATTCATCGTAACCTTCGGCCAATTTCCAAAAACTTAATTAAACATTCCAAAATTGCATCATTGGTCCTCCAATTCTCTAAACTCATTAATTTCTTCCCCATCAATTGCTCCAATCTTCAATTCTTTCCCATTGAGTTGCTTTTAATTCGATTTTAGCTCAAAACTTCAACAATTCTTCATTTGAGTACAATTCCTACAATTAAAGATAAAATCACATAAATAGCATATTTGTACTCAAAATATATTGCAAAAATCACAAATTAGGGATATAATAAATAGGTAAAATATAAACATATCAGTGTCGGACCACGGCGATCCAATCGGCCGGACATAGAGAGCACTAAATCGTAAATTCTAAAAGGTTCAATAATACATATTGCTTTTTTTCGATTAATTTTCTTATGATTTATTTTATTTTATTTTAGGTTTGCATATATGGTTTAATGTATACAAGCGATGAATTGCTTTGGCGGAGGCATTTCTTTGATGAGTTTTTTTACCTTCGTTTGATAAAGGCATTTTTATAAGTTTTTTTTTTCTCCAAAGATCCACTTGGGCTGAGGCCATGCTTTGTTTTCTTCGTTAGATTTTTTTATTCAATATAAGAGCAGTTTGTTTGGTAGGATCTGCAGGAGTTGGCAAAAAAACATTTGCGTAATGGACGGGGTTTAGGAGTTAGCAAAAAAAAAAAAAGAAATTAATTTGGTGTGATTTGTGTAATGGACATCAAAGCACGTGATTATTTTTTCCAAGTGTTTTACAAATTTGGGTTTCTAAATTTATATTGTTTCTTATTACTCCCTCTGTCCTAAAATTATTATCTAATTTGAGATTTCACTTTAATTTAATTTGTACTAAAAATGAAATTACAAACTGGACAATAATTATGGGACGGAGTGAGTACTTCGCTTGCTTATAAAAATAAAATGAAATAATCGGATCTGAGAGTGTTGACATAACCGATACTAAATTTGCATGTCTTGAGTGCATATATTTTTTTGTCGAGAGGCATATTTTTCTGATGAATTTGTGATCTTTGTTTGGTAGAGGCATTTCTATAAGTTTTTTTTTCCTCCAAAGATAATGTTTTGGCCGAGGCCATGCTATGCCTTTTTTTTAGTTTTTTTTATTCAATATATGAGGAGTTTGTTTGGTAGTTAATTTATGGGCGAAAAGATGAAAAAACACCTAACCCAAGTAGAAAAGCTCATGGTCAATGTTTTGTTTCTTCTATATGTTACTTTTGGCTAGGAGGTTCTCTTGTTATTTTGGTGCATCAATTTGCCTGGATCTAGTATATCTTTAGTTTGAGGTCATACTTAATTTGAAAACAGACCTAGATCGCTGCATCTTATATTTGATGTGTTCTAGAGGCATTTCAAATGGACTAGTTTAGAAAGATTATTATTATTATTATTATTATTTTGTTTCAGATCTTACAAATTAGTTGCGAATATGACCAAAAGTAAATTTGGCAAGGGTGGCAAATCTATTCACCGAGGCACACAAGCTACTCATGAAAGAAAGAGAGATTCACCCCAAGACACTCCAGAGATATCACATAAAGAGACGAATCATATTTCACATTCAAGATCAACAATAGACAAGAATCCATACCATTCACATGAACGAGTGGAGGAAGAAAGGGGTTTTATGTCTCATGATGCAAGAGAAACAAATGATATTGTTCGCCGCTCAGGTTCTCAGACAAATAATGACAACTCTCAATCGCATATTAAGGATGCTAGATCAGAGATTAAGGTGTACAAGGGAAAGTAAGTACTCTAAAATATGTTATTATGTTTAATATAGTTTATCTTCTTATCTTTTCCATGATTGTATCAGAGTACGCATTTTCAGTGATGGTGCCAGAAAAACATCGAAAAAGTTTACGGAGAAAATTGATGTAGGACGGTTCACGTGGTCAAAAGTTTCTCAAACCGCCAAAGACTTCTATTTTGATGAGTTTAAGATACTATCGATCATGTTTTATTTATCTTTTTTAAGTTTTTTTTTGTTTAGTAATAATAATTTTAAATATGTAGAAATTCTTTAAATGGGAGCCTGAGCTTGACTGCCAAGTGAGGGCCGAGTGGGATAAAAAAGTTGCCCGATTCTATGGCGAGTTCACAAGGAAGTTGAGAAAGAAAAATGAGAAACCAGCTTGTCTGTCAGATAATGCTTGGAGACAATTCAAAAATCATTGATAAAAAAATAAGCCAACGAAATTCTAGTAACCGAAAGAGTCTAGAACAAGCATCTCACACTGGTGGATCAATTTCATACCTTGAGCATGAGATAAATCTAGTAAGCTTGATACTCTTAACTTTCATAGGCGATTCTTAACTTGTCTTTTTATGATCTCTATAAATTATAGATTACATTGTAGTGTTATAATTATTTGTAATGATTTTTTCATCTCATAATACTTCCTTCATAGTAATTCATTGATTATTATTTCAGGAAGTTAGAGATAGTCAGCCGCCAACAGCACATGAGTTATTTTTGCACATGCGCACGAAAAAGCATGATCGAAAGACTTTTGTTGATGGTAAATCAAAAAAAAAATTAATGTAAGTTTTGGTTTAAATTCACACACATTGTTTTTGTTGTTTTGGGGATTTATCCTTATTGCTTAACTAATAGAGATATAATATATATATATATATATATATATTTCTATAATACTCCAGGACAATGTGATACAATTGACTAAAAGACACAAGGCAAACCCTGAATCTGTAGAAGGTGATTAGTCTCATAAATCAATAGGCAATGATCACATTTTTTTGGAGGCTGCAGTGGTAAGAAAAAAGGAAGAGTCTATGGTCTTGGGTGCCAATCATCTACATATTTTCCATCACTAATTGAAAAGATAGCTGCAACACAGACTTTGGAAACAAAGTCACGATACAAGAAAGCCATACTTGTTATGAGTAAGGAGTTGAAAGCTGTAAAGAAGCAATTACGAGCTGAAAAGACTCGTTGAAAAAGTAAGTTCAATGGCTTATGTGGACATCTTGGCTTCCCAACTGAGAGTGTGCAAATTAAAGGTAAGCAAAGTGTTCAAGTGGAGAATTATACTTCAGATAGTAGTAATGATGATGATGATGATGAAAGCCGATCACAAGAAGGTTCTATGGATTATGGCGATGAGGAAGATAGTGAGTCAGATAGCGATTCGATAGATTCGGGAAATGATGATAGTAGCAAATCTGATGGATAGTGAATGCATGGTGATCGGCTCTCCAATTAGTTGATGATAATGATTTTTGAATATTGATGAAAACAAATATTTTGTTTGACTGTAATTTGTTTTTCAGATTTTTGAATTCTCATGTTTTGGCAATTTATTTTGTATTACATCAACGGATTGTGGTGTATAGTACGTTTCATTAAATTTATTTTAATAATTTTAATGATTTGTGAAATTATATAATATTTAATTTTAAATTTCCTAAAAATTACAAAAAACAGAAATATTATTTTAACCACGGATGTTATTTGATTTTTCACAGAATCTTCCATGGTTAAATTTAAAACTAAAACTAGTTAGTATTCACAATCATCCACGGGCTTTCCACGGACAACTCGTGGTCAAAATTATCCACGGGCTTTCCACGGACAACTCGTGGTTAAAATCATCCACAGTTTTACTACGAAAAATTCGTATTAAAATTTACTATTCGTAGATAAAAATTATCTACAAATTTGCTACCAAAAGTTTGAGGAAAAGATTAACCACAAATTATTTATGGTGAATTCGTAGATAAAAATATCCACAATTTTGCTACAAAAAGTTTGTGGATAATATTAATCACAGATTACTCAAGGTTAGTTCGTAGATAAAATTATCAACGACTTCATTACGACAGGTTCGTAGATAAATTTACTACAAAATATTCACGGAATAGTTGTAGAAATTAACTACGGATTATTTACCACAATGTCGTGGATAAGTCGTGTTTTTACTTAAAACCCACCAATATTTATACACGGTATATCCACTAATATGTCTGTGGATAAATCATCTACGGAAGTCTTCCTTCCGTGGAAAAACGATTAGCAACGGAGAATATAACCACGTCTCAGGATTTGTGAATAAATCCGTTGAAAATTTCGTTACCTACGGACTACAAGGCAAAATTACACACAAACGTATTCGTGGCAAAATGATGTTTTTCTTGTAGTAATTTAGAGAATGTAGATATAAGATTTTATCCCTAGATTATGATATCGACTCATGACATGAAGCATTGCTGTGTTGGATGTGTCCGCAAAAGAATTTCAAAACTTCAATTATTAAACTTTGTTTGTTTCGAGATGTTGTAAGTTTTGCCTCTTTGTCGGCGTAGTAGCTAAGATACAGCTGCTGAAGACAAAAATCATACATTCCCTTGTCAAATTTCACTAACTTAACCAGATTATAAAGCAAGATCAGGTTTTGTTAAAAAGTTTATCTTGGCTATGGAGTTCATCCCACAATCTTTACTCACAAAGTTGCAACGTTAATCGTTATCTAGTATTTTGGTTTGGAGTTTTGACTTTAACTCAACAATACCAATTACCATGAAGGCACTTAAAATTCTAATAGTTTAGTAAATCATGCATACATGACTAATATTTATTGACAGTTACATATACTAGAGAAATTCTCATTGAAGATCACATTAATTATTTATCCGTTAGGCTACCAATACTGTTTGGTTCATTAGACTAATTAATTAATCAGATCGGTTTTGATTTAGTTTTCTAGACTTCTATCTCTTTTATTGTACAAAAAAAAAAAAAAAAAAAGCAAACAAGCTCGTTCCCACATGAAAAATTCTCTATGTTTTGTTTGCTAGTGCTGCTCAAATTTGCTTCATGTCGACAGAATATTTTATAACACGAGTTTTTTAAGAGAAAAAATAAAATTGAGATAAAAAAAAAGTCGCAATAAGATTTCAATCACAATTTGGGCCAATGACATTCCACTCTTATCATCTCAGCCAATTCTCTCGTCCTATAAAAATATTTAGGGGGCATAGTCAAGTAATCAAAGATCAAGATCACTTTAGCCGGCAGAGTTGAATAAATATAGTGGAATATATAAGCTCGACAAGCAGCTAGGGATTAATGCCAAATATATACTTGAAGCAAAATAAATTTTGTGGTACATAGAATAAAATTGGAAAGAAATGTTCAAATTTGATATAATTTGGATGAGTGTTCTTCCCTTTCTATAATTGCTTATAAAGTTAAACAGGTTTTGTGACACTTATTTACGGAACAAACTTTAGCTATAGTTGTCCCTTTAACATATTACGTGTCTCTCAAACATATTCAATGTTACTAAGAATATACCAACTGGTACTTGCCAAGATATGCCGTGTTGAACCCGGTCACGTATAGTTCATTACCTTGTTGGTAAACTGTGGATACGAGTTGAGTGAACTCTTGAGTGAGGTCCACTATTGCTAGTATTTGGCCTGCAGAACTAAACTTCACAGCTTGAGTAATTGCAGAATTTGGAGTCACCAAAGTGTTAACTGGAACCCAAAAGTTATCTTCCCCTTTAATTCTTGTAATTTGGAAGGGACTTCCTACAAATTGCAGTATAATTTCAGAAGTTCCAGCCTTAAATCCGTTTATGTAATACTTTCGGATTCTACGAAGCGTATACTCCGCAACATAGAGAGTTGATGCAATACTATCCGAGGCCACCCCTGCCGGACCTCCTAATCCTGTGAGCAATTCAGTCACTACTTTTGTTTTGCTATCATATTCCAATAGCTTTCCCGTCGAATCTAATGTCAATACGGAGGTGTTGATATCCCTGAAGAGTTGAATGTTAGTTATGAAGTTATGGTATAGATAGTGATACAAAGTTAATTGAAACAATTGGTGCTTGTATTGGTGCCACTTTATTTTTCATTTTCCATTTAAAACACCTACTAAACACAAATCTCAATGTTAAATAAATATTATCTAAACAACATTCTAAATTACTTTTTAAAATTTATCTCAAATATTATTATCACTTTATTTTCAACCATCGGACCACCAACTTTCGTTAAGTGCCGTCCGGTGGTGGTGGTAAACAATATTATATTATTTTATTTAAAAAAACTATTCAAACCATTTTTTAGATTTTTACTCAAAACCACATCTCAAATCTAAAAGGAAAACAAAAACAAAAGCGTTGTCCATTCAAATCTGAATCCTCGTGTTCAAGTTGGCAGTAACAAAACTTACCTGAGATTATATATACTGCTAGCATCGACAAAGTAAGCTTTGCGGTTTATAGCGGCATCAACGTCGATAAGTGTGTGGTAAGGTACACCGTCTTTAGAAGGGACTAAATTAGTCGCAAGTCCCCCGGAAAGTCCCACTATATCAAGTCCCAACCCCGAATCAGTAGCATATATCTTCCCAGTAGCAGGGTCTGGACTTAATCCAGCAGGAAAACCACAAGTTTGTAACTTATTAAAGTCTGTTGTGCCATCACAGAATGCGCTGGTCCTGAACACAAAGGAATTCAATGCAAAACACACAAGGTTTAATTGTAACAAATTAAGGACAAACTTATTAGAATTAATGAGATTGAGTTTGTCATTAAATATGTCCGCGAGGGAATATTTTCGTTGAGATCGAGTAAAAAAAACAGTACCTATCTGGTGAAGTATAAGCAAAATCTTCGAAAGTTCTACTAAGCTTATTATACTTCAAGATTCTGCCATCAACGACACCTATGTACGGACCTTCATTGAACAAGCCAAATGTGAAGCTTCCTGTGGTTGTTGTGTTCGGTGGTAATGAGATCTTTTCAAATCCAGTGATACTAATACGAGGTGCTAAAAGATTAGAAGAGATCAAACAAGGAAAAGTAAAGAGAAATAAAAAGGTAAACAAGGCCGGGATCATCATATTTTTCATCATGATGCAAATGGTTCGTACAAGAATGTCCCTTGTTGTTCATATGATATGCTTTTTATAGTGCAAAAAATGCAAACGTTTAAAGTAGCTATGTATGTTTTTGCTTTAGGTTTATAGGCTAGATAGTTTGGTACAACCTATGTCCGAAGTAATTTCATCACACGTTATATATTACACGTTGAATAAAATGCTCATTTGGCTGGCCGCCGCCTACCAAGCTAGCATGGGGAGCTTCGCTATATCAAAATAACTTTTTGTCAATTGAATTTGAGGGGTACGTTTATGTTTATGTATTTTCGTATGAGTATCTACACATGACCACAAAGCATTATTATAACTAGTTGAATTTAAATGGGATTATGGAATTCCAATTGAAGGCAACAGAATGCTTTGTACATATGATCATTGGTGATTGATGGTCTAAACCGATCTAATCTACTAGAAGTTAAAAATAATTGGAACACTTGAAAATGGATTATAAAGGCGAGACAATAGGATTCACGTCTAATAGTTTGTCTACACAAATAAATGTTGGACCAATCTCAAAGCCTCCAAGTTTCAACTCTTAACAAAACCCAAACACATCCTAATACGTTTGAGACGAATCTTTTGTTCCCCCCACCATGTTGTAGTTGTAATAAAGTTATATATAGAGTTGAACATATATACCTTCATGCATGATCAGACGGTCGTAATTATGCATACCTTCAAAGTCAACAATCAAGTCCCATTCATCTTAGATTGGTTACCACCAAACCCTATACTCAAAGACTTCCCTCTTTTTTTTTTCTTTTTTTTTTAAAAGAAACTATTATTCAATATACTATATTGTTTGCCCTTTACATACATTCTTACTTTATACTTATAATAAAATTAATTTGTCCCATCGAGACTCAAGCCTTGAACTCGCAAATATGATACAAACAGTTTGGGTTGAAATCTTTACCAAATCATAAGATAATCTTGAACTAAAAATTAAAAGCCATTTTAATTGTGGATGCGAATTTATACTTTGAGAATAATATCTCCTTCCATAATAAGAATTTGGGCTCATTTGGGATTTCCCTATGCAAAGCGCAACAAATTTTTTTTTTTAAAATAAAATAATATTTTCATTCATTTACTGGAAATCGTCCACCTGCGATTGAATAATACAAAGAAACAGTTAAACACAACTTACAATATATCACTTCGTTGTGTTTACCTTGGATAAACTTATACAAATCTACCTATATAATTGATGGACATATCACGTACCAGAGGCTGAATCTGATCTCAAATATATCTCTAAAATTTTGTTGAAAACTCTAAACTACATATCTAAATATTAGATCTGCAGTGATTAATTGTTCGTGGGGCATATGTAATGTTGCGAACATCTTCAAAGCCGCTACGAACACTTCAAAACGGACCTACCTCTCAATAGAACAATCAACTGAAGAAATACTGCGAACAAGAAAACCCTACCCTCTCAACAGATTATCAAAATAATCTATTGAAGGAATTGATTCGTGAGAATAAACTCACTTATTAAACGATAAAGAATAACAAAAAGAAAAAGAAAGAGAAAATTCATCAATCCAGACTAAAGAGTACGCGCATGCATATATGGATGCAAAGAGCAATTTGCCAAATGCAAAATGCGCTCTACCTCTCCAGGCCTTTATGAACTTAGGTTAGATTAGATTTTCGAATTTGCGGGGCTTGACATCAACTAGATGCTACCCAATGATAAGGCTTAGATTATCGACTTTCTACGTATCCATAATTTACAGCCTTGGGATTTTGTGCAAAGTGCGCATATATGTTTTTGTTACTCTATATATATGTTAGGGATTTATCCAGAGGAGAAAGTTTGATATGGAGTCCAATAAGTAAGATAAGATTTATCTGAACTCAAAAGTTCAAGCTAATGGGTTCTGAGTCTACTTTACTTATTAACTGATTTACATGTCATCATGCCTCCGATGTGAGATTCATAATCCAATTGTCACATGACTCTCAACATTTTCCCCCGTCATGGGCAATCTCCACATCGGGTTTGTAAATTATCTTGACAATCCCAAATCTGTATTCCACCTGAGTAACTGGACTGCTCATCCCTACGTTCTGCTCGTAGTGAGTCTTTGACTGCCTGGGTTCAGTCAGATCAACCGAGATAATTTAGACTAAATCACCCACCCACTTGGCCTAACCTGGACTCTGATACCACTGTTGGAGATTTTATCCGGAAGAGAAAACTCAACATGGAATCCAATAAGTAAGATAAGACCCATCTGAACTCAAAAGCTCAAGCTAATGAGTTTTGAGTCCACCTTACTTATTAACTGATTCACATGCCATCATGCTTCGATGTGGGATTCACATTCTGAGTCCACCTTACTTATTAACTGATTCACATGCCATCATGCCTCCGATGTGGGTTTAGTATACTTGCTACCCTTTTTTTTATTATTAATTAAAAAATTTTTTTGTTTTTAAAAAACATATTCACGAAAGAAAAGTTTTAATACTCCTATAATTAAATATAAACAAACCATCTATTTATACCCTTTACTTTATATTTAACCTGGCTCAGAAGGATTAATTCAAGGTTGGAACGGCTCGGTTTTAATTACTTTCAGAGTAAATTAGTTAATTTAGAGGAACGGTTAATATAGAGTTTTTAATTAAAACATGCTTTCGTTAGTCTGAGTGGGAAAATTAAAAACCAGGATGTATAACCAGTAGTTTTTATTTACTGCTATAGATATTAACACAAATTTGAAAGTTCAATATGAATAATTTTTTTTAGGATAGAGAGAGTAGTAATATACCGTGTGTGGCTGAAAGAAGTATGTAGGCTAGTTTTTGAAGGCAAATTGATCAAGTTTGATAATATGAAATTAAGAAAAAATAAAACTGAGATTAACTATAGTTTGTAGGAAACTGCAAAATTAATGTAGAACAGATTTATATTCGTAAACCAGGAATTGATGTAGAGAGATGAGTAGGAAACAATAAGATTAGTTTTAGCTTGAAAGATGGTTGTGTATAGTGTTCGGGTTGTGCTAATTATATATTTCATCTTTTACTTCACAAAGAAAACAAATGTATAACACTCATAAAAGAACAACATGAGAAACGTGTATATTTATGTCTAAGTTCGGACACTAAACTAATGATTCTATTGAGAGGCACTAATTGTTATCGTTTTAGTTAACACGATTTCATCAGGACAACTAGTAAGGACTCCCTCAGGTAAATAAGTTATTTTGATTTGTCCTAAATTTCTTCTAATTTATTTTTTCAATTGAAAAAAAAACCTTAATAATATTTCTTAATAATTAGGACAACACACTGAATGTGATATGTAATTTTTTTTAAAAAAAAAGTACTACTCTAAATTAATTGAGAGATTTACAATTGACAGGTTTACTCAAAATCTTTTCCAGCCGAATCTCAAATCCACAACATGCATTCATGAGCTTTCAATTATTAATGTTCGAAAATGTTAATGGCACAATTCTATCCTAATTGACCATCCATCGCACAAGAAATACAGCATTACTGAATTGACGCGTATATATTTATCAATATAGCATGATATTGGTTTAAATGTGTAAGACCAAAATCTTAATCTTAAAATGTAAAAGAAAGGCTTAAACATGAGTTTTAATTATTCGATACATATAATACCAAGTTGATATTTTTTTTATTATTATTATAATAGCAAGTCGACATATATAGATATGTAAAGATGAAATTCTAGACACTGTCTTTGAGCCAATTTAAGTTTTGGCCTAGTTATACTGTAATTCATATCTGCCAATGAAACTTGCATTAACACCAGCAACAAACAATTCGTTCCCTTGCTGCAACACGTTAGTAATACGCCTTTGGTATTCCTTACTGAAATCTACAACAGCCAAAAGTTCACCCTCCGGACTAAACTTTATGCCTAATGGAAAAGGCGCCCCTGTACTCGTCTTATTGTTAATCCCAACCCAGAAATTTCCTTCTTGAGTCCTCTTAATCTTGCTTGGCTGCGCTCCACCAAAAGAGAGGAAAAGTTCAGAGGTTCCAGCTTTTTGTCCTGTCAGCCAATACCTGAGGATTCTGTCTTGAAGAGCTTCTGTGACTAACAAAAATGATGCATTGATGTTAGTTGCTAATCCCACTGGTCCTTCGAGTTGTGATAATAGTGTTGTTAATTTCTTTGTTGTTGGATTATACTGGAATAATCTTCCCGAGGCATCCATTGTATCCATGGACTTCTTTGCATCCCTGTGAAAGAAAAGAAGTTATATAAGATAAACCATGACTTAACTACGTCAATAATTTGTTTCGGTTTCTTTTCTTGAAAATTTGTACGACGTTTGTTTTGATAAACCATGATACACTATTCTTATAACTATTTTAACATAGTCGCATAAAGACTAATTAGTATTGCTGTTATAGCTGTGATGCAAGTTTCAACTGTAGATATATAATCATATCATTATACTAACCTTTTGTGTTAAAAAAATAGTTCACATCAAATTTTAATTTTTTTAGTACTATTTTAATTTAGTACATCTTCAAAATTCAATATAAATTATTTTCTAGAACAAAGGATATTAATACATAGTGAAGATAGATTATGAGCTTTACGCTAAAATATTCAACTTTAACCATTTCACTCAGTCATGTAATAGTCCAAGTGTTTGTAAGATACATCTGAATTGAATATCTATCTATATTCATGAAATAATTGTCTTGAACCAAAATACACTAGAAAAGCTAACTTATTTGCGTTTACAAAATGTAAATCGCTAATGATCATTTTTTAAAAAATAAATAAACAGAATTCAAGCAGTTGAATGAGTTATGAAGAAACATACGGTGGACCATATACGGAACTTGTGTCTGTGAAATAAACCATCCCGTCACTTGCAGCGTCCACGCTATTAGCAAACTTTAGGGGTGGCGATGCGTCGGAATTACGAACGAGGGTTATGGCCGGACCGCCGGCTAACACAAATGTGAGTCCGACAAACGGATCACATGCATAGAGACCAACAAAAGGTTTAAAACTCAATCCTAGAGTGAAACCGCATGTAGGTGACCTATCGTATCCCAGTGTTCCATCATTATGTCTTGGTTCTGGGAAAGGCACAAAATTCACAAAAATTCAATAGGATAAACTTTTAGTAATAAATCGTCCATGTGATAATTTCATTGTACTAATTTCATTTAATAAATTATACTCTAATCTTTGGAGCATAGGCAATTAAATTAATTCCATGTGAATGTAATTAAGTAAGATTATTGACACACAATATCAAATTCTAGTTGAAGTTCATATTGAAAGATTGATCACATGCATTAATTGAACCTTGGAATTCAAGAAATATACCTGTTTGGCGAAGTATATGCATAATCCAACCAAGTATTGAGGAACCTAGAGAAGTAAAGGATTCGGCCGTCGGTAGTGCCGGCATAAGGGCCTTTTTCTAGTGCATCAAACGCTAGGGAACCCCCAGCGCCAACATTCGTCGGAAAAGGTAATTTAGTAAAATTGGCAAGAACAATGTTACTTTGAGCCGAAGTGACGTGAACATGGATTAAGAAGGTCGACGTGAAAAGAAATGTAGAAAAGAGGGAGCATAAATTGATGAAGAAAGCCATCATTTTGATGTCACAGGCGAACAAAGTAGGCAGTTTCTTGCAAGTACTTCTATATATACACGTAGGGTGTGAATGGGCTCAGTGAAGTATTTTAGGTGATTTTCTATATAATATTAGGATTTTTTCAGTTGAATTTATAGCTAGGGATCCTAGCCTATAGAAAGAGTTGAATTTTTACATACGCCAAGAAAATGTGAAGGCAAAATATTGTAACCACTCAACAGTCTTTAGATTTTTTTGAGTATGGGTGAAGTATGGGAACCAAACTGGAACTAATGCGACTCAAGTTGGACGGACTATTAGCGTCCAAATCTACTTTTTTTTTCTTTTTTTTTTATTCCCACCGCCTCTCTCTTGTTGCAATAAAAGAGACGGAAACTTCCTTGAATCAACTGCATTACATGAATGAGTTACGTAAATTACAAGTTTCAATTACGATTTAATTTCCTCTGATGGTTCTGTAAACAAAGAAGACCCTCATGGTTCGCTGTGGCTGGAACATGATGTGACTGGTGTATCTTATTCACGTAGCGTTTTCTAGTTCCTAGGCTTCGGCCTCTTTCATAGTTAAAAAAAACAAAAACAAAAAAGACCCTGAGCCAGTTGACTGTTATGAAGCCGATAAGCTATTTTCATTCGTTCAGAATATTGAAAACACCTATCCATGCTTTGTAAAATAATTGGGTAGTCTTAAAAAAAGAGTATTTGCATGTATGATTCGAAATGATCCCTAACAAATTCAAACCTCCATATCTGAGTTTTGATTTTAGTAATAATTGAAATCCCTCGTCTATGTTTTGAATCGAGCCTTCATGTGCATGCATACAGTTCGTTTTAGTCATTAGCTATTTCTAACAGACTAAATATTATTACCTTCAGCTATCAGTACTAGTGTATACGTACTGAGGCCCCGAAAAAGGGGAGTTGGAAAAGAATAGAGTCAATGAAATACTCCCATTTTTTTATTTTTTTATTTTTGATATGCCAAACCTTTATATCTTGTTAGGCAAAGAATAACAAAATTTTTTGATATAATATAGATAGAGTTGTCTCCTATATGCGCGTTTGTAGATACTCTAGCTAGATTCTCATTTCAGCTCTATCTATCCAAGTTGGCAATGGCGCTGCAGATTGGTTAAATTAATACTAGAACAGAGTTTTCCCCTTAAATTTTATTTTATTTAAGTGGGTAAAGCTATGGTGATAGTGAATAAAAATAATAACAAAATATAGTGACTGATGTGGATTAATCTTGTCCTTTCGTCTTTTGTCACTTTCCTAAAAATTATATTTTTACCCTTAATTAATAACTAGACATGTTTATTAAGTGTGTGGTGTATTTGTCTTTTTATTTGTCACTATCCAAATTCATTATAATTTTTTCACTATCTGTATCATTGCTCTTTTAACGTTGTGGTGTCATTATTTAATTTATGAATAACCGTTAGAATAATTTGAATTAATCAAAACCGTAACATTAGCATTAAATGTACAAATAATTAAAAAAAAAAAACTAGGTGACTTACGCCTTGTAAAACCCATAAACTGTGGTATAAAATTTAATTGGGGCTTTTCCCTACATATAAGTTTTCTTTTTCTTTTATTTTTTTTCACTTTCTTCTTCTCCCTTGATACATAATTTTGGTAAGTTTAACTAATGTTATGGTAAGCTTATACGTTACAAAAATTTTGAGTATGCAAATTTAATGATATGCTGATATGTCACTTTGCTATTGGTTAAATTAAAAGGGATCGTTCTTTAATAGGAACTATCAAAGTGCCTCGGGAACACACCAGAATGCCATGGAGATTTTGGAGGCTCCTTTAGTTTGCACTTATTTTGGAGGCTCCTTTTGAGTCTAAAACTTGCTAGGCTTTTCCTTGACCCGGCATCTCTTTCCGGTACTGACTTTGCACATGTAAGCGCAAGTTTACCCCGCATTCTCAAGACGGACAAAGTAAATGTCATGCCTTTGTCTGAAATATTTACTTTTTGGAGGCTCTGGACAGATCATTGATGGTTCTTTTTTAGGTTAAAACTGCTTTTGGATGGATCCAGCTTTGCTCTTTGGCGCTGATTTCACAGATGTGGACTGCGGATTTACCCCCAGTTATAATCAAGCTTGTTCTGTTTAAGTTCCATTAGTCCTTTATAACCAATGATCATCTTTTGTGTATATATATTACTAATACTCAGCTACAACTATCAGAGGGCCTTGAGGCAGCTCAATTGTAGACTTATTATTTCTATAACTTCATATAATATAAAATGTTGTACTGAGTGCTGACGCTATATGTATAGCAATCAACTACTTATAGCAGACGAAAACTGTCTAAAACACATTTATCTAATTACTAAATATAAAAACATACATATAACTATAAATTACGGGGAGACGTATAAATATAGATAGATACAGTCTAGAAATCCCTCGTCCACATAAAAGTAAGCTAAGACCAACTTACAACAGACCTCTTGTCAATTCTCCTAAACCATAAAGTGGGGGTAAAATTTTCTGGACTTGGGATCCTGCCACACACTCCCAGATTTGTTGTAGTATTGCTTTTGATATTCTTCTATATCCTCATTAGATACCACCACAGTAACGCCAGCACTTCCAACATGGAAAACTTGAATGCCGGAAAAAGAATTACAAATGTACGCATAATCAGGAGGGGGGAAGAATAAATGTAAAAATGAAAATGCAAGGTCCACTTTGTTTTACGAGGAATAGTACAACAAAGAGAAGTAATAAAATAGGTAGGGATTAACGTGAAACACGATAAAAGTGGTCAGGAGATCATAAACTTACCACTGATACGCTCAGCAAATTCAGGCGCAGTATATGTACCCATACAAAGTGCCAATTTGGCCAAATTCGTAGCGTGAGCCAGGGTCACACTGCGACCATAGATCCTGTAGAAAAACCAGAAACAAGTTCTTGACATGCTACCTAGTAAAATAAGGCAGAATTTCGTAAGCCTGATGATCAGAAAATAGAGCTTAACGGCAATTAAAGGAAAATTTAAATGGGAGCTCTCAAATGACATCAGGACAGATTGAAATAACTTGGTACATTTGAGGCAAAGGATGGAAATGCATTCCAGTAAGCTCTTATATAAGTTCCATCAAGATGTACGGAAGTAATCCTAAATCTGACATCATAAACCAAGGCCATGGGTTTACGGTTTACCCACCGTAATGAAATTATGGAGGCTAAACTAGAAAGACCAACGCTCTATTTGGGCTTCTAACAGCAGAAACAAGACCAAATCATGGCACAAATTTAAACCATATTCATTACAGATATGATTATTCAGCTAAAGCAACCTTTTATGACCAAGATTTGGGCCTTAGGACTGGGGCAAGTATGGAGATTCTAGCTCAAAGAAATCTCACCGGGACAATTACCTAGACTGAGACCCTAGCACAAGGAATTCAGACAAACAAATTCATGAGTTTAATGTCTTACAAGACTTGGAATATGACTATTCAGCTAGCGCAACCATTTTTGCATAAGGTTTTGGCCCTGGCACAGGGGTACATATCGAGATTCAGCTAGAGCAACCCTTTTATGCACTCAGGATGCGACTATTAATCAGATTCAGCTAGAGCAACCCTTTTATGCACTCAGAATATGACTATTCAGCTAGCGCAACCATTTTTGCATAAGGTTTTGGCCCTGGCACAGGGGTAAATATCGAGATTCAGCTAGAGCAACCCTTTTATGCACTCAGGATGCGACTATTAATCAGATTGACTTACTATTTTCATTAACAAAGGGAGAGAATGCTACTTGGGGGAGAAATTTTAGTGAACACATGTGTAACCAGCAACGCATTTATACTATACAAAAATGTATTTGTTCTTTGTAAAACTTAGAGACTACAAGTTCAATCACAGCCATAGCAAACCCACAGACTATTAGCTAAGCCCCAACAACTCAAACTCTCAAACAAACCAAGAAAATACACAGACAGTTGCATAAGCAAACAGAGGATCCACATAAGCAATCTCCATGGAGCTATTGCATCAACCTAACAACATATTCCAACCACCATACGATGGAAAGACTGAATTTATGCGCGAAAGAACTATCAAGAAGGTCAAGTGTCAATTTTCTAAAAGTGTCACGCAAGGCAGGCAATACAACTGAATAAGCGGGGAGAAAGAAGAATACTCTTCAATAACTAGCACTTCAGCAGCCGAGGCAGAACCAGTTCCAAATAACTGTCTTTCAAGAAGTTTCCCATTACCGTCTACTTTAAACAGGGAAGGCCCCTATAGAGAGACAAACCATGATCAAGTCAACAACAGCCATAGGTAACACCCAAAAGAACAGAACAGTCTGATATGTACCAACCATGATCAAGTCAATAAGAGGAACACCAAAAAGAACAGACATTCTAATATTTACCGATTCATTATCCCACGCAGCAATCAGTATTCCCAGTGACAAGCCCTTGTCGCTGTCAGGATGAAGAGATAGAAAGTCAGCCAGCCACTTTGATGCTTCCGCAGCAGAAGCTTTTCTCCCCTCGATGAGTTCAAAGTCGTGACACTAAAAAGACATGAAATGTCCCCATGAATTACAAACAGCCAATCTATCATATATCCACCTTACTAAAGTAAACATAATGCACATGTACCTGTCTTGGCAGCTGATTGAGCAAATAACTGCGAGAATGTTCGCTCCCACCGGAAAAGGCAGCGAGCAGGTGCAAATTGAGTAACAGAACATTGTTGGGATAATTGCCAGATGACAGGTTGGGATGATCAACAGCTACAAGGACCCCACCTTCTTTGCTGAAAATAAAAGCCAATGCTGAGGTTCCCTTCTCATACTGAGGGTAATCATGTATGCCCGCACCCTCAGGGATATCACCCATGTATTGGAACTGTAAACACCACCATGGAAAAGAAAGTGAAAAGGATCAATCAAACCATCCAGGAAAAAAAAAATCCCACAAATAAAGAATAATAATTATAAAAAAAGAAAAACACTAACATCCTCAATCCTTGCAATCCTTAACTGAGCGTCATCGGTTTGCATTGAAGCCATTGTTCTAACCTACAATCTCGAGCAACACAAACAAAATCGTCACACGAAACCCTAATTGATCAGGCAAAAAACTCAACGACAAATTACATATTGAAAACTGAAACAACAGAAACGAGACCTGGTTCGCTGAGAAGAAAAAATAGATGTAAAGTCACGGAGATTTTACCTTTTCGCAAGATGATGAAGAGAAGGGTTCAGATCCACGGAAGACTGGTGCCGATTGTTTTATGTCCTTCGATCCAAGTAAAACAATCAAAATCAGAGGTCGATAAAGTAGTTGATGTCCGGATCTTGCGCTAATTGTTACTACTAGTATCCATGAAAACCCTCAGCTTTAAACTGATATCCCCTCTGTTCCGAACAGAAATTATTGTTTAATTTTTATTTTTAGTTTAAATTAAAGTAGTATAATACAGTATAAGGAACTAGAGTACTAGTAGGCAATAACTTTGGGATAGAATATAATTTGATAAAAAAAAAATAATTAAAAAAAAAGCCCCAATTCGATGGAGAAAAAATGGGATCTCAAAAGTGACGAGAAATGTTCTTCCGCCCAAGTCCCGTAGGATTTCTCTTCTTCTTCTTATATTTTGTCATGCAGATCGGGTATAGTCAATTCGGGTCAAAACTTTATAAATGCATGTACGTGATTTAATTCCACGCCTACCCTCTCTCAATTTGCATAACATACCGAACTCTCTAATCATTTTTTTTTTGTTTTTGTTTTTGCAAAAATTCATATAAAAACCGCATCATCAATGGTATTTCTTTTTTTTTTTTGGGTAAAATGTGCATTTCGTTTCAATTTCAAAGCATATGTACAGCACTTTTTAACTCACCAAAATATCACTTTTTAACTCAATTTCAAGTGAGCCTATTTCATTTACACCCCTTCGGGCAGCCCCCATAACACATCATATTCGGCTAACCATGTTTCACGTATCTATGGGTACTTTTCCATTTAATTTCTTTCAATATTATAAAAAAAATTTATTTTATTTTTTTTTGCTTTCTCTGCATTTTTTGATCAGTCTGATGAAAAATGGGAACCATAAAAGGGTAATCAACCTTCTCTTAAGGGATATGTCTCGGTAAGCTTAATTATCTTCATCTCCACAAAACATTCTCAGAAGAAGACATATTTTTTTCAATGATAAATATTATTAAAAAATTTGATAATGTGTTGCTTTTCTTTAGTTCTTTGTTAAGTTGCTTTTATTAACAGGTGAATCATTGATTCTACATCAATAATTTGTTACCATTTTAATTTGTGACCACAGGTTTGTTTTGGCTAATTTGTTAAAAAATAGCCATAATATCAAACCAGGCTAACTATTTAAGCTCCGGCACTTCTCCGGGTATTCACGGATTCAGCTTCAATTTGTTTCAATGGCAGCGGCTTGGACTCCAGCTAAAAATGTTATCGTTGGTTGGTGGCTTAGGTTATATGGCTGCCTACACCCTCTGCAAAGTTGTAGAAATGGTATTATTACTGAGTCAAGTACATATGGTTTCCATACATTTTGCTAGTACCAATATTTATCAATTATCATTGTTGATGCTACATATATATATTCAATTACGCAAATCAATTTGCAATTATCATGCGTATAGAATACTCACGAGTCACACCATAATTTTTTTTTTAAAAAAAAACATCATGTATTATACTTTAAACAAAGCAGGTTATTATTGACAGGCGGAGAGTGTAATAGTTTTTTTCAGAAAAAATAAATGGGGACAGTGATTCTCTATGTGTGCATTGGCGCATGTGTGTACTTAAATATACTAAATATTTTTATTTTGTTCTTAATTATATAATCATATATAAGATATAACAAATTACATATTGCCCTTGCATGTAATTTTTGGATCACATGAAAACAACTTTCCAACTTGTTCCAGGACTCTGTTAATACGCCTTTGGTATTCTCCACTGAGATCAACAGTAGCAAGAATTTCTCCCGAAGGACTAAACTTCACCCCTTGTGGTGTATTAGTACCATTTACATTTAACCTATTGATCGCAACCCAGAAATTCCCTTCTTGGTTCCTCTTGATCTTGTTAGGGCTTCCTTGAAACGTTAAAAAAATTTGTGAAGTTCCAGCGTTTGTTCCCCTTAGCCAATATTTCAGGATCTTATTTTTATTGTTCTCCGCAACTAGAACAACTAGAACGAATGAGTTATCAGGACTGACCACCACGCCAACTGCTCTCCCGAGATTTGATTGTAGGGTTGTCAATTGTCGTGTAATTGGATTATACTGTTATAATCTCCCTGTTAAATCCCCAGTCTGTATGGATCTATTTGTAAATCTGAACACCAATAAAAAATAATAAAAAAAGATTAGGGTTTAAATTCGGAAATGAGATTTATTTTCTTATAGATAGATTAGTGATGGTTTTAACCGTACATGACATCAAAAACTGCACTTGCGTCTGTGAAGTTAACAATGCGATCGAAACCGACGTCGACGCTGTTAAGGAAGCGAAAGGGTGGCGAGCTATCGGAGTTGCGAACGAGTGTAGTAGCTTGGCCTCCAAGAAATCCAAGGACGGTGAGTCCAATATATGCATCACAGGCATAGAGAGTTTGTGAAACAGGTTGAAAACTCAATCTCGATGTAAACCCGCATGTGGGATACAATGTGAAGTCGGTATTTCCGTCACAAAGTGCCCGGTTCCTGAACACAATTTAACCATGTATTCCATAGTTTTATAGTAGCTCAAAGTCAAACTGTAGATAGAAAGAGGTTGACCTAATGTGCGATCGAATAACTTGGTTTGGTCTAATCTTATTTTTATTTCGTCCATCAAATTCCATAAATTTCACTTCATAAATTTTTCTATAACTTGTTGATGTAGCAAGTGGAAGCCACAATATTCGAACCCTAAAAAGTAACACTGGTAACCGTAGATCCATCGATTCTGCGAATACCGGAAATACAACCCTCCTAAACACCGTTGATTCGACGCATGAAAACAAAAATCCCATCAACACATGGACAAGGATAATTTGCAAAAGAGATGAATTCTCAACTTTTATAAAATCAACAATTTTAGTACATGAGCGGCTAAGTCCATTTAAATAGGAAGAAACACAAAAAGCCAAACCCTAATCAAAGTAATAAAAATTACATAAATAACCTTAAAAAACCCTAGACCCTAAATGTATTATTCTAGCCGCCATCACTTGTCCATTGATATTTCCCATTCCAAATCCAAGACCTTCGCTTGACTAATCCGTATGATGCATATTTTGAGTATAATTAATCTGTATCGCATATGGTAGCTAGGAGCCTTGGATTGTGGTAAATTTAGAATGAAATCATCAATTCCAAAAGTTAAACCCACATCTTTTCTTTTTTAAAAAAATAAATAAATAAATGACTCGCTACGTTTTCAAATGAGTGTTCAGTTTGGATTTTCACATCTAGTATAATTGTTACTAAAACTAAATTTTATTAAAAGTGAAAGTCCAAACTAAACAATCATTTTGAAATGGAGAATTTCTAAAATACTTTTAAGAAAAAGAAAATCAAACTTCCAACCTTCTGAGTAAAATTAGAAGACCATATCACCGTCATTGATCCAAACATAATTAAAAAGTTGTATACCTGTTCAAGATATACCAATTATAGATACCTGTTTGGTGTTGTAACACCATATTCACGCAGGAATTGTAAGTTTTGAATAGACGAAAATTCGACCATCGCCGGTTCCAGTGTAAGGACCTCTACTTAAAGGGTCAAAAGCCAGAGATCCAACAGACGTCACCCTTTGTGGGAGATTGAGTCGTGTAAATCCTTGGAGTGTTATCGTATTTCTATTTTGGGGAAAGAAATTAAAAATCCCCCCAACAACAACATCAATGGGAAAGATGGATATTATAACCAGCACAAACAAAAAGAAAATGGGAGATGCCATTTGGTTTCATGCGATGATTAATCTAGTTAGGTTGAACAAATTTTTTTCATGGATTTTGCTGCAACTAGTGGAGACGTATTTGGAATGATCCGTTGGGAGTTGGGGGTGAATTAAGATTTTCCTTTCTCCTTCCTCCATACATAGATCTAGTACCAAATTGAGGGGAAAAAGAAGTTATTATTAACGTCATTAAGTAATATCTCGTACCAAATTATTCTTATCTACCGAGCCCAAAAACTTTTCAGTGCATCTATTAATGTATAACTAACTTCTTTGGGTACGAGGGAAAAGCCTTAAAACAATATTTTCATTGATAAGTGATTCTAGTTAGGTCTTGTCCTTTTTTCTTTTCTTTCTTTTTTCTGTTTTTTATAAAAAATTACGTCTTGTTCTTATCCACCCAAATTTTACTATTGGATCGAATATCTGTGTTACGCAACCAAGGATGAAGTTGCTAATAATGCTATAAAGTAAGGTGTTTCCCGATTTTATCCTTGGTTTAGCTCTAAATGGAAGAAAGGTCTTCTTACACATCTTGAAATTGCCTTAATCAACCGGAAACTCCAAAATATATATTCTAAATAGACATGCACATATTACATTTAGACTAATCAGCAATTTCTATATTGAGTTGCATTCTTCTTGCAACAAGTTACCCATGCTTTCGCTGTACTAACGTTGCATACTTAAGACACAATTAGTTACCGATTACTCATGACGCGGCTTGTTGCTCATTTTAAGCTATTAATCACAGCCAGTACTTGCAACACATGGGCTATTATACTTTCCCTTAACCTACCAACTTCGTACTTGTGAGGTTGGGCTTGGCAACTTCATAGCATTATTTAGTAGGAATAAATTTACGTGTCCAAAGCTTAACTGTCAACTTGCTTTTTGAAAAACCTAACTTACCATTTAAATGGAGCTAGGATTCTTTTAATTAACATATCCAAATTGCAAGGGCATGACATATCTTAGGGCCGAGGTTGAAAAATCATACAGTATTTGCTCAAGATTTTATGAGAGTACCTGGTATTTTTGTTGACTTACTCATGTACGAAATTGATCGAGTTCAAATCTTCCTCAGTGTGTGCCGATTAATTTACTTTATATATATATATATATATATATATATTTGATCAACAGGAGCATATGCATATGGTTCAGAGCTAAAAGCCTAAAACTACTAATATCTGAAAAAAATGGATTGAAAAGAAAAGAGAGAAAATTATCACATCATAATTCTTGAGATAATTGGTTAAAAAAGAAAGAATGTGACGCCAAAAAAGAGAAAAAAAATAATAATAAAATGACAAAGCGATGTTAGTTTAACCTATAACGAAAAGAACAGAATTGAGTCTAGGTAAAATCCTTCATAAAATTTTAATCTTGAAAGAAACAAATTGCTCATATCATGACATGCCGTGTTGATTAGTTTAGCCATTAAACAAGAAGTTGTATATACTGCATACAAGTTGTATAATAAACTTCCTCAGTCAGCTCGGCTACCTAGCTACCAGCCGAAGGTTTGGCCAAGCTCAAGCCGAAGCGGGAAGAATATCCAGATCCGGACCCGAAGCCGAAGCCGTTCAATAGGAAAGAAAACCTAATCAAATAAACTAAAATTGTCAAAATAATCTTACACAATAAAAATAAAAAACCCGAATATTCATTGAATAAAAGGTTCAGTGTAACTAGTAAATGGTCCCCCGTTTTTTGTAAGAAATATATTTTTTTTTTGGTGAAGCAGTTACATATGTTCTGAAGTTATTGGTTATAATTAAACAGTAGTAAAGTAATTTGGTTACACAATTTTTCGATTGATCATTGATTAGAGTACTGAATTAGTGCCCAAAAAAGCTAGTTCCCCTTCGTTCAATTAATTTAAATCTTTCATGCGACAAATGTAGTCTGTATCCAGTATACTCGGGGGTACTGTGTACCCCCTCCTTTTTTTTGAACTTCTAGTCCTTATTATACTTTTATCAATCTTTCTATATTTTGCAAGTTTAGTCCCCGTCATTTTTTCTCTCTCTTCTAAAAAAAACTTCTCTAATCTTTCAACAAGCATATCTCCCAATCCGTGAATAATTTGTGAACGAATTATATTATGAAATTTATAGTACTCGTCGAGATCTATCCAACAAGATCCATAGTGAATATTTTTTCGGGCTTAAAAATGACTTAATTTTGATGGGCAGAATAAAGATGGATATCCAGTTTTACAAGATGGATAACCAACTTGTTCTAAATTGGTTATACATTGTGTTCATGCTGATTATCCAATCAGTTTGAACTGGTTATCCATTTTGTTTGTACTGCTTATCCATTTGGTTTATATGTCTATCCAACTTGTTTGTAATGGATATCCTACTTGCTTGAAATGGATACTTGTTTGAAATGGATATCCAACTCGCTTGTACTGAATATCCATCCATTTGGTTTATATGCTTATCCAACTTGTTTTGTAGTTGTAATCCAACGGATTTGTATGCATATCCAACTTGTTTGTGTTGGATATCCAACTCGCTTGTACTGGATATCCATCCACTTCATATTGATTATCCAACTTATTAATTCAAAATAAGTTGGTTATCCATCTTCTTAAACTGGATATCCAATTTATTCATATTGATTATCCAATTTCTTTGTAGTGGTTATCTAGTATTTTTTTTCCTTGTTCTTTTATGAAAATGATTGTCAAACTTTCTTGTACTGATTATCCAACGTGTTGCACTGATTATCCAATTATTTTCTATTGATTACCCAAATCGTTTGCAATGCTTATCCAATCATTTTTTCTTTCTTTTTTTTTTTGAAGAGTGAATGTCAAAAATATGATTGGATAACAAGTACAAACAAAATGGATAATCAGTCCAAACCGGTTGGATAATCAGTAGGAACACAACGGATAACCATTTTTCAAACAAAAACAAAAAACACATTTCTTCATTTCTGCCCGTAAAATTTAAATGCATTTAAAGTTCAAAAAAAAAATATTCAACATGGATCTTATCGGATAGATTTCGTCGAGTACTATAAATTTCATGTATAATTCGTATTCTAATTCTTTACGGATCAAGAGATATATGCAATAGAAGAATCTTAATCTAAACTAAACTGGTTATCCATCTTTCTAAACTACATATCTATCTTATTCTGACCATCGAAATTTAGTCATTTTTAAGCTCGAAAAAAATATTCGACATGGATCTTGTTGGATAGATCTCGACGAGTACAATAAATTCATGTGTAACACGGTTTCTAATTTTTTACGGATTGAGAGATATGGTCGTTTAAAGATTATAGATGTTTTTTAAAGGATGAGAAAAAAATCAAAGGGACTAAACCTGTAAATTATAAGATATTATTTAGAAAAGTAGAAAAAAGTGTACTAAGAACTAGTAGTGTAAAAAATAGGAGGGGGAGTATGGTACCCTCAGATATACTGGATAAATTACCCGACAAATGGAGGGGGGGGGGTGGAAGCAAACAAAGAAACACAATGTAAGCTGTTGCCAAATTGATATCGCTTTAACGTAAGAACATTGAAAACTAATTAACCGATCTGAAAATTATAAGATGCATAGAACCATTGAGTCTGAAATGTTTTTTAGCGTAAAGAAAAGGAATAAGGTGAGTGCGTGATATCATGGTTTAATTTTACACCTTTTTTTGAACTGTGATTAAC